TTTTTGTTGACCTTTGTCCATGGAAGGTCCCTGCAAAATTTCATTGAAATTGGTTCAGGGGTTTTGGAGAAGAAGTCGAAAATGTAAATTGTTTACGGACGCACGACGGACGACGACGGACAAAAGGCGATCGCAATAGGTCACTTGAGACTTTGTCTCAGGTGACCTAAAAAGTTTACTAGTCCAACACATCTGTATTTTCATAGTAGTTTTTTTATAAATATTGAAATTTTTTACCAGCCATAGCATGAAATGTTGAAGTTTTGTCAACTGCAATGTCATAAGTACATATGTGTGATACCTTTAATTTGTCAAGTCTTAAACATTAACTTATGAATAAAGTATAATGACTTAAGATAAAGATACTAAATTATGACGTCCTGTGACCACGTAAAATTAAGAACATAACCAGGTTATATATGTACAGTGCAAGAGATTTCTGCAAATGGATATCATCAGCAATGAAAACGCAAACAGCAGTGGTGAACATATATGTAGACTAGGGCTGAAAGTGTACACGCAGTGATACAATTGTAATTCAGAACTTTACAATAACCTACATGATCTAGTACTTTTTCAAATAAATGCAACGTGCTTTAATACTTTATGTCATCTAAAATTCCATGACTAAAACGACAGAAAAAATAGTTCATATACATGAAGTAAAAACCTTTATTTATTAAATGTTAGTAATTAATAGCTTCAGAGGTTACTTTAATTTTCAGCCATACAACTATATAGGTATATATGTTGAATTTGTTCAGGGCATTGTAGAAAATGTGTTTAAGAAAAGTAAATTCTACAAATAATTGATCAGAAGGGGACAATGTAATTATGCAGACTTGAAATCAATTTGTTATTGTTATAAGGAAGAACCTGTAATATGATCTTAATTATAATTGACATTCTTATCAGTATAGATATGGCCTGATATACATGTATATACGTCTGATGATAAATGACCTATTTAAGCTTCATGTGTATATATATATGACACTGTATACATCTGTGTTAAGACATACAGCAACACATCAAGTGCTTTTCTATCTACATGTACAGGATGCAATGTTTAAACGACTTTTTGCAGTATTTTGAAGTACAATGTACTAGGGCAGACTAATTAAAAGTTTGCGCAAGCAGCTTAGTGCAGAATTGGCTAGATTTGACTAGACCATGTCTAGCATCACGACTTTATCCAGTATGCGTAATTATTAGGGTTGGGTATTGCCAAGATTTTGATATTGCTTAGCACTGCATTTAAATGGGGCCCTTCCTATTAATCTGGTCATTTAACAATTTCAAGACATGGCTAGTTCAAACAGCCATGGAATTATTGATCGAAATGAGATTTCCTCTGAAATTCTTTGTGTTATTGGCTTCAAACAGATATTTGATTTCAAATAAATGTGAACACTTTGCTTTTATAAAAGTTTTATAAATAAACACTATATTATTAAATGTACAACTTATCTACAAGGCATATATATAATACAAATATATTTCAGACCTTAACCAAATCTAGTTAATAATGATTCATTTTTAAGGGTGAAAACATCAATTTCCTGATTCATTAAATGCTTAGCTGAAGTACAATTAGATGTGGACAAGCAGGAACAGGATGTCAAGTGCTCATGATCATGATTATATAAGCTTATTGATTGCCCTGGATTGAAGTTCAACATAATATAATAAAATGACTGGGTTAAACCTGATAGCATCAGAGTCCAGAGAATTAACAAATTTTCCCGCTATAGCACCTCAGTCTAGACCTGACACATACAGTGTATCACAAAAGTTCTAAATTTTTACTGGTTTCCTTTATCATGCCCATGCTTTATATATGCAGGCAAGTCAATTTGTATACCCTTGCCATATTTGGATATGCTATATATGATCACCTTTAAGCAAAAAAAGCTGATTTTGGTAATCAAATATATGATTTAAACATCAAGTCTAAATATTCTTATACATCTGGGAAGTACCGTAACATTTTACAGTACACTGTAGTACTAAAACATCTCAGTACTACTACTAAAATAACCTGCATGTACAAAAATGTCTGTAGCTTCAGAAACATGTATAACATATATACATATATGGCATTTGAAAATAATTGATCTATAAACCCCTAAAACATGTAAAATTACTCTGAACACCTTAGTTTAGGTCCAAATATAGCTGTAACAAATGCTCATGTCCCTGTGCAAATAGAAAGACTTTAAGGCTCTACAGTAGATCTCAAATAATTTATACGATTAGTTGAAATGCAGAAATATCAAAATAATATTTGATGAGGTAAACAACCGTTGGCCAGACTGTTGATACATCTATGTATGTACAGTACATACGTTTGTTTCTTTGTTTCACCCTATAAGCCGTAGTAAGTGTCATAAGTGTCCCAAATGTACCTTCTGAATATTCAACTGTTTAAACTTTGTACATTTTTTACCATTATTGTTTAAACATGCAAGGACTGTACTTGTAGATGGCCAAGAATGAAAGAAGAATTACAACAGGAGGTCTGACTTTATTGTTTCTTCGGATTAACAAGAATTGATACATCACAGATGGCGACATATATTCAAGTGCTTCAACCCCAAGGTGTAGACCGAATTGTTTATATCAACAGTTCAAATGGGTTCAAATTACTTAAAATTACAGGGTTCAGACAATTCGTCTGCTATATTTATTTTGATGACGTCAGGTACATAGACATTCAAAAGTAAACAAAAATAAGTTAAAATGACAATAAGAACATCGGAAGATGGAAATGAATAACCATTTAGGTTGTGTAAAGTGGTAGCTAGCCCACTACAAGCAAATGTCTGATGTGGGGTGTTGACAGACGGATGGTGATGAGGGATGCCACCCCCTCCATCGGACAGACAGAATGTTTACCTGAGTGTGGTCCCCAGTGGTCCATCGGAAGTTTCTATTTCTGTGATTAGATGGTCGTGGTGGGCATTCATGGACTCCATGCGCAAAGTGTTGGCGTCCTGAACCGTCTCAGACAGCGGTTTCCAGTCCGGAGGCTTCTTGGAAGTTACAGGTTCCGCCATATTTACAATTTTCCAGTGCGCAACTGACAGTTACTTCCGGTATAGCCTTGTCAAGTCCGCAAAATTTACAAAATCCAAAATACAGGGAAAACAACATTTATTAATATTCTTTATATACAAAATGTAGTGAAATAATTGCTTTTTTTGCATTACTGTATTGTTGCAATGTTTCAGTTAAAAAATGCTAAAGGATATGCCAAGTTAATTTAAAGTCAGAATTTATCGACCCATACTTTAGGAGTAGTCTTTTACTTGATACCTCATTAGACCCCACTGCCCACAGAAGTGAGAACCATAGATTTAGAAAAAGAAAAGTCTTTGACTAGTGATGTTTCACACTAATTTCATCAAAACTTGTCCACTTGCAGTATAGGTATTTAGTCTTTTCAATATGTTTTATATTCCCCTAACAACATTGTAATTCCCCTATCAGGCCCTGCACCTCTAACATCACGGGGCCACACCTTTCATCTATTAACAATTTAATAGTATTTACAGGAGGATGCTCCATATCAAATGTGAAAAATATTCTCCACTCAGATTTTAAGAAGTCTTTTAGTATATTTCTCTATTTACCCCCTAATTGCATGGCCATGCTCTTCTGACACGGTAATTCACATTCTTTGAAAACTTTTGCCTATAGTGATGCATGATCCATATTGAATTTAGTCATAATTTGTCCACTTCTTTTATGGAGTAGTCTTTAAGATTTACCCTATTACCTGCCGGTCTTGTCCCCAAGGAATCCATACCTTTCAATTATAAAGATTTACTTCTCTTGGCCCAGGAATGGTAAATGTGGTACGTACGTATCTTTTTCAAGGAAAACATAAACAGTATTGAAATTCTGATTGTGATGAACCAATATCTTTCATTTGAATTATAAAATTATGTATTTTTTTTTAATTTAAAAAATCACAATAAACAAACAGATTGATTTTCGCACAAATTTCAGTTACTGGGTATTTTATAAATAGGTACCATACTGTTCTTCTGGTCAATGTACATTCATCTTATTTAACAAGCATCCCATTTATTGATGAAAAAAAAAGTTTTCTTATACAAAGATTTCATAGCAAGAAATATTGATAATTCTTGAAATTTTGAAATGAAATAATCTGAATTATCAATATTCACATCATATATAAATATTTGTATAGTAAATCAAAGATGTTAATTTAAGTTTCAATAGAAAAGGACACACATTTTGAAGAAAGTGATCGATAAAGTTACAATTCAGGTATTCACACTCTGCTTATTCACGAATTTAATCATACTGAATTCATTTTTAATTAGAGAAAAAAATAATTTAATGATAATCTATTGATTTAACAAAGGATTTCTATTTCAAAGTTTTAAATTTGATTTCTTCATCATAAAATATCTATTTACAAAACAAGAGAATACCACGATTTCGTTTTAAACCTGTGTGTATCAAAAACTAATTATTAATTTTATTAAAAAAGTGAATTTTTGATAATGAACTCCTTATTGATGTCAAGATTTTGCTAACTGCTGTTTCTTTTATTTTAAGATTTTGTTTATTTTATTTTTTATTTTGAAAAATTCGCTATAAACAGTCAAGTATTACCTATCTCATGTATGAATTTACTGTGTTGTACATTATAACTGTGTTTTGTTGTATAAGAACGACTGTGACACAGAATTTGAATTTCTTGGAGACAGAAACAACTCTGTCTTACTGATGTCTGATCTTCACAGCAGCTGCCCTGCATATTGTAGTATTAACATGCAAATTAAAGGATAAATTTGTACAAAATAGAACTGTTGGCACCTTTTGCATAAAATTTCATGTTATTATTCATTGCCTAAAATTTTCTATCATAATTCATGTACAATTTGCAACAGGATTATAGGATTGTTCACGGCTGTGGTATAAAATCTCTTTGTACCGTATCTGTGGTAATTATTGTCCCCTTGCATGCAAGAAGTGGAAGGTTATCATTCTTTTATTTGATGACTTTGGAAACATTATCCTAACCTATATCAAACAATTGTACAGGTAACACCGGGAAATTATTTGAGATTGACTTAGGTGATATTATTACCATATTAGTATCTATACAGAAGCTGTTGCATTGATAAAATGGACCCATGGTTCAGAGATCGAGAAATTTATAATTGTCATTGATTTGAAATGTAACTATTTCATCTCATTAATACTGGTACATATCACAGACAACAAGACAGTTATTTTTCAGTAACGATTTATTTTGTTGACAACAAATCAATGGTGAAAAAATAAATAATCATTCTAAACAAGTTCAGCACTTTCAAACATTGAAAATATCCAACACATCATTTTAACTGAAACATTTTATGCTGTACAAAATGACACACACGAATACTTGAGCTGAAGCAAAATTATGCTGTACAAACTTGCACATATTCACACACAGACTTCATACAAAACGAAAAAGAAAAACAGTGGGACGTTATTCTGACAAAACTACTTGCATCTGAATAGCGTTTTACAGGCCAAATAAGATTTGATATTATGCTGGTCTGTTTTGAAGTGATAATGTTACATTGGTCCGTTTTATGATTTGAAGGAATGATGTCTGTTTTACTGAAATTTTATATCCCTATAATCATTGTGAAATCACCAGCACATAATATTATACAATGCTTCAGAATATACCTCTTTAGGATTTTTGCAAATTATCATATTTCATAATTTGATAGATATCTCAGGACAGTTTCTAGATAAAAGAGTAATTCATTATATATCTTGAAGCTATTAGTAAACAAACTAAAATTGTAATACATTTTCTTCCACATTTTTACGATCCATGAGTTATTTCCCTTGTATAGTTGATTGTAGAATGTGATAAAATAATGCAAGACTTTATTATTTATAAAAGCCCTTTTCGGTTACAAATAAATTGTGTAAAAAGTCTATAATTACATTTTGGTACATAGTATGGTGCAAGCACTGAGTGTGTGCATGGTTACGGGTAGGAATACATATTTACTGTATGTATTTATAGGGTACTCAGCTCTATTTTAGAAAGAATTGTAACTTGGTCTGTGAATTCAAACACAGGCATTGCAAGTGTATAGGTAGATATATATAACGTGTCATTAATCAAAACAATAACTTTAATTTCACAGGTGGAAATACACACTAAAACTGACGTGCACATATACAAAAGTCTGTGGAATGTAAGAGTGCTATAGTAACAGATAAAAAACAAATATATTTATTTTGGCAAACATAATCATTTGCTCTTCTCCTCAATGATTTGGACGGAAAATGTATACAACTTTAATGTACGAGGTAAGTGTATTGTTTATTGTTTATTGAAATGAAAGGATCACACAAAAATTAGTGATATATAGTTATATATATGTGCATGCATAAGACAAAAAGACAAAATACTGTATTTAAATTATTGAATCATTTTGTAATCCCTCCCCACCCCAAAATCTGAAAATTATCAATACACCTTAAGTAGAAAAAATCTCAGGCAGGAGGAAATGGACAGGAATGTTCATAAAATACTTACTCTAGCCTCAAATGGCCAACACTTAAACATACATGTACATAATGTTAATGTATTACCTGGTCAACATAAAATCAATATACTCATATCAAAATTAGATTTTGCAGGCATATTTTATCAAGCACAATCAATATACAAACATCATATTTAAAAGCAATAAACATCAAACCAAACAAATTTCATTCATTCCTTGTTTTAAAGGGCAGCAATTGCATATACCACTACTCGGAAACCAAACAGGAGATTTAGTTGAACAAGAGTGAAGCATCTGTATGAAGATATGTTGAGCAATAAATGTTTTCTAAGTTTATATAAGACAACAAAAGTCAACATCACAATTATATATATTGTACTTGGAAACAGTTATAACGTATCTGACAGGTAATGATTTTTAAGGAATACAACTTTAACATATATTTATGGAGTTGTATCCCAGACTTGATACAACTAACCATATCCAACAGATGAAAAGCACAGGATCAGGACTTAAAGCCCAAGTCCATCACTTTTAACAGCTTTTACAATGGACATTTATATCTATAAAAAGGTATTTCCTACAAATAGGATAAAACTGAAGAATGCTTTTAAAGTCCATAAAAGTCCACTTGCCCGCTCTCTAAGTAATCAACCTCTCTAGTCTGACCACCAGTATAACCAGGGACAGTATATAGAGTCCCTGGTATAACACACAGCATTGACACAGATACATGTAAATGGACGGAGATAGTACCTGTGGTATGTGCCAAAATATGGAAACAATTCAGGTACACACACACAAAAATATTCATTTTTTTTTCAACTTTACCGAAGACTTTTTATAACTTAATTAATATTCAACCAATGAGATGATGTACATGTACTGTCAAACTTAACTTTACGATTCAGTAAAGAAACTTGATTCTACTTGCATATTTAGTTTACTGAACATAAATACCCTTTTTATCACCATCATTTTACAAGGTAAATAAAATTAAAGTAGCAAAAAAATTGTGGAATACATTTATGGCAATTTAGAAGTATTGTAAATTACATTTTTGTACCAATATTTGTGAATTCAGTATCCTTATACTTATAGCTTCAACAGTTAGTGTATGACTAACTCGAAATATGTTAATATGTTGTAATTTATGTAGTACACATCGCTGAACGTCAACTCACACTTTTCTGTAATATAATAACTCATTTACTCATTTTCTCTCGGTATTTCATTTCGTTATGTTCACGATAAAATTATTTTATGTAAAAATGAAAAAGATTGTTGTGAATGATAACTGAGGTATGATAACAGTTACATTGATTGGTTTTGTGGAAAAAAATGCTCTGATCTCACCCTGAAAAATTCGAACTTAATCTTTCACAGTATGATCTATCATATCAGCCTCACAAAACAGCTGTTAACTTCAAAGTTAACAACAAACCAGCAACAATCAGTTTTGTTTTGATTTTTTTTTTTTTATTTCTATTTTTTTAAATAAAACAATATCATATGATATCATGGCAAACTATTTCTAGTGACTAGTAACCTATCACTGAATCTGGAACAGGTCCCTTTTAGGGATTCAGGAAGTCATAGCTCCCATCCACTCTTACAGACATTCATTAAGCTTTGTACCAAGAACAATAATTTCTCGGTCTAAAGACAACTAGACATACATAATACTGTTAGTGTTATATAATGTGTATGCCACCAGAGGTTATGATTATTAGGCTGATATTCCTCATGGATGCTATATATGGTGATTTGATACAGAGGTCAGCATATTGAGTTCAAACGTTAAATATTTATGAGATTTTAAGAACAAGAGCAGCTAGGATTTAGAGGAAAAATTGTATCCAAAAAGATTAATGCTTAAAGACATTTCCAAATATCTGTGGATTTCCAGTGCTATCCTGGTAAAACATATATTGTACCTCTCTGCAATTACGGTAATGTTTTTACCAAATAAACCTGTCTATAATTAACATTTTTGGGGAATTTCCCAAAAATGTCTGTGTAAATTTTGTGTGACATTTACTATGCTAAATTCCCTATGCTATAAATCACTTTATTTTTGTGAGTGATCAAATTCATGTAAATTTGTAAGGAAAATCATTCCCAATTTTAAATCTTCAAAATATAATAATGAAATCCTGAATTCAAGTATAAATGAATAAAAGCTACAGGTATAGTTCACAAAATAAAGTACACCCCAAAATAAAGGGATTAACAGTACATGGGAGATCACAGGAGTTGTTAATAGCAGTTCATATGAATGAAGACCTCAACGTCACTAGAGGTCAAAAGTTCACCAGTGGAAACACCTTGATGAGGTTCAGTCATGTTTATGAGATAAGCTCACAACTGCAGTCGACACTAATCAAGAGAAGAGGTCCACATAGTTCCTAGAAATCTCATCCACCTTCTTGTTGAACATCTCAACCTCGTGATTTGTATTCTCAATGTATTGCTGGATAAATCTGTCCAGGTCTGTTAACAGCAAAGAAAATAAAAAAATAACCAATGGCCAAAAAATCCTCAATTATATAAACTAACATTTTTATGCACACACAATGCAAACCTAACATGAAGACTTCTTATTTTCTAACATGAAGACCTCGTATTTTCAGTATCGTCAATAATACTTTTCATCACAGATTAACAAGTTGTTAGTTCAGGATAATATTTAAAAACAAATATGTATAACAACAGGCCCATAAGACCTGTCCCACCCATCTGTTTCTTTTCAACCCCTAAGAGAGCTACACTCTTCCTTTATGCAACAGATTCTCTGTTCCAACTCCCAAGGATGCATTATTTAATTTTTCTGCGCCATTAATATTTTATCTAGCCTAGATACAACGTACTGAGAAATATCAACAACACTGAATAACAGAGAATGGCGATGAAAGAAAATTACGTCTTTTTTAAGTTTTGATAAAATAGCATTGTGAAAAACTCTTTATACATCTACACATCACCTCAATCAGTAAAGTTTTCATTGTTGTCAAAATTGATGCCCTTTGATTAATTACCTTTATACAGGAAACTTGAAAGGAGGAGACAATGTGTATATTACATATGATTGACCGAGAAACCTACCCGGATGTGTATTCTGCTTCTCTCCATCAAAGCTGACAAACTGTGTTCCGTTGTAGAACCAGCCCTCGGGAAGGGCCTCCAGGTGGTGTTTTGTCTGGTCAAGGGAGACAATACATGTTACTCTACATACACTTATTTTAGCAATCTCAAATTTTAGCGCATTATGAAGTTTTAATAGATTAGCACATTTATGGATTGGTGCATCCCGATAATATGCGAGAGAGAACAATATACAAGAACTTCAATTGGCACCTCATGATATAATAAGTGCAATATTTAAAGTGCATATATATGTATGTTAACAGTACCGTGTGTTTATTATAATTTCATATGATATGTTCTGTAACTCTTTTTCATTCTGAATCTTAAGTTGATTGAGGTATCTATGACAATTCTTCAAATTTTTATATTTTTATCAAACCAGTCCACACTGCACAAGTAAGAAAACACCTTTATATATACCATACCTTATTATAAAATTTCTAATCTAGTGAATCATCTTACTGTAGTCCAAGATGTAATGAAGTCATTGTCTATCAATCTTAGTTAACTAATCATACAAATACATGCATACTTACATGAATTTTCTTTACATCTTCCTTTGAGACATTTTTACGAGCTATAAGCTTCTTCTTTTCTGGCTTCTACAAACACAAATATTCCAGGATGAAGTTTGTCCTCAACTGAGACTCATATTAGATGGAGGTACAGCACAATGGGATCAAGTACTGCATGACCTTAAGGTCAACTTATTAAACTCAGTAGAGTTATATTGTAGTGTAGAGCTATGAGAAGTCTTCTGCTGTGATCAACCTTTTATAATCGTAATCAAACTATATAACATTCACAAAATAATATGGAGTACCGTACATAAATTTCAATAAAACATTAAGGAGAATCTTAGGAATATTAAGATGCAATGAAATGTTTACAAGTTTCTCAGGACTCTAAATTTCAATCCACCATGTAGAAAAAGATTTGAAATATTATTCTCATTATAACAGATAGCATATTAATACTCTGGAATGTAAGTGCCAATAAGATATTAAAGAGACTTATAAAATATATATTTCAATAAAAAAAATACAAAGACCTTTTGTAAAACATTAAGAGGATACAAATGCTTTTTAAGTATTAATCATAAAAAATAAATTGGAACTAGTTGTTTTGAATTTAGGAGACTCATTAACAATTTCACCAAAACTTTGACATATAGGTATATCTAAATCTCCTATAAACTGAATTGTGCAAATTTTAAGGAGAACTTTATTAGCATATTTCTATTAAGTATAAAGAAGACCTAGTACTGCTGACCTGTTTGACACACATTCTGACCCAGTCCTTCACCACGTTTTCCTTTAATTCACATCCAGTGATCACGAGGAAGTGATCTCCCTTGGTGTTATGGGGACCATCTCCATTGGTGACATTGCTGGATAGTTGGTCCAGATTTTTGGCGACAGTTAGAGTTGTAGTGTCACTGAGTGTGACATGATGAATCTCCTTCAGGTTTGATGAATCTGTACCGGGAAATAATATTCTAGAATAATATGTTGTGAAGTTGATTTAATTTCTATCATGTAAATTAATATGAAAAAAATGTTTGCTTTACTTTGTATAATGCAGTAGAAAGCTTAAACATCACAGAATTTATATATTTCTCAAGAAAATATCTTATTTTCCTGCATATAGATTATGTTCTACAGCGGCTTGCATTGTTTTTATACTTAATTGCAGGTCAAAAATAATTTGTTTTGATAAATCATTTACATCCTTATCGGAATCTTCACCTGTGAAATGTAGCATGCCATGAAGGAAGTAGATGTTACCCTGACAAGGAAATGTCTTCAAAGAGCTCTTCAGACCTAGAGGTATAAAACACAAATGATAAATGCTTTGCAAAGAATCATGTTATACATATGCTCCAAGAAATAAATATTTGTCATTTACATTTTTATATAACACCCTTTTTTTTACTTTAGGCAACTGGTGATTGATCAGAAAGGAACGTGGATATTGCAGTGGGAAAAAGCCTTCCTGTCTGTAAAATCCGGATCAAAAACAATACCAGGAACAAAATGTCTCCAGATTATGAATTACCTTTTAGTTTTTTCAGCAGAAGTGGACTTTCCAAGGGTTGTGAGAATCTAAGGAGAATGCTGTTCATTTTGAATAGAGTTGTCTGTTCCTTCCAAGCTCCCAAGGACCTGAATATCAATTAAGCAGAGTTTAGCAATGTCAATTAAACTAAGTGGTCATAACACAGACAAATATAATGAATGCATTGAAACCTTTTGCATGTCATATAGGTGGGTTTTTTTTTTACTGAAGTTTTTTCATGTCAAATGCTTGTAGAAGAATAACAACAATTCCACAGGAGCAGATGTGTCGCCTGCTCAGCGCTTTTAGCAAGAAAAGTTGACAGACTCGACAGAAAACCCCGTAATATATGTTGAACATTATTGCTTCTAGCATTACCGTACAAAATTTGAAAGAAATTGATTAAAAAATTAAAAAATCTTGCATTTACTACACAATGCCCTTATTTGGCAATAAAAGGGACATAACTCCACCAAAAATGCACGTAAACTTCTGAAATGCGAACTTGTCTGAGCTATATTGGTATGCAATATGTGTTTCGGATGACGCAACCGACGATGCCGACAAAGTCATACCTTAATGTCGCCTTGTGTTGCAGGCGACACAAAAACCAAACAAACAAAAGCTATTTATAGCTACTGTAGTTTATACAACTACTATGTACTGTTGTAGTTACAGTCTGACCATGATAGTTAAGCTACACATACCAGCCTGGACAGAGAAGATGTCGAGCTCGAACTTTTTCGTCCTGCATAAAGGCTGTCTCTGACAACATGGCATCTATGTCCATACTCCTGTATAAGGAAAACGGGAAACATCACATCAGTTCATGTCTGTACATTCAGTCTATACATTCAGCTTCTTAAATTTTATCATAAAACATTTAGTGTTCCTCCATTGATCAGATATATCTGTAGAGCAGGATTGAGAATGACTACTTTTTTCTTTAAACTACATGTGTTTACTTTAGGAATGGAAGCACATGTACAAATTAGAATTTTCAGGAATTCTTAAAGGGTATGTCTGATAATTCTAACTGCATCCCCACCTGGTCACTTTGCCGTTTTCGGCCAAGAAGAATGCCACATCTGTGTTGATTGAACGAAGTAGATTCTGAACTTCTATCAATGACTGGTTCTGAAAATAGTGAAATTAGCAATTAACATCCACAAATTAAGGAGACAAGTCCACAAGTTAACATTGATAAATGTTGACATTTAAAGCTTATGTACTTTGACTAATGTCCATAAGAGAATCTTACCTTGACCAGTGTCCACAAAAGAACCTTACCTTGACCAATATCCTCAAGAAAACTTACCTTGACCAATGTCCACAAGAGAACCCTACCTTGACCAACGTCCACAAAAAAAGAAGGGCCGCGGTGGCCAAGTGGTTAAGGCATCTGACATTCTGCTACCACTAGCCCTCCATCACAGGGTCGCGGGTTTGAGGCCTACGGGGGCAGTTGCCAGGTACTGACCATAGGTCGGTGATTTTTCTCTGAGAACTCTGGCTTTCCTTCACCACCAAAACCTGGCACATCCTTAAATGACCATAGCTGTTAATAGGACGTAAAACACAAACAAACTGAAAACCCCCACATGAGAACCTTACTTTGACCATCGTCCCTAAGAGAACTTACCTTGACCAATGTCCATAAGAGAACCATACCTTGATATTGTCAACAAGAGAACTTCACTATGACCATTGTCTAAATGAGAATCTAACCTTGATCACTGTCCACAGAAGCACCTTATCAACCCTGACCATTGCACACAAGATATATATTTACTGATGTCTTATTGAGAGCTGTACCTTGATATCCTTAAGGGATATATAATCAACTCCAAACATTTCTGTAAACTCACCTTGACCGTCATCCATCACACAGATTTATCCTCACCAATGTCTATAAAACATATTTTCCTTGACCGATGACCACAAGAGAGATTTATATTATCATGCATTACCAATGGAAACAAGACAGACTTACTTTGACTGATGTGGAGGAGGTGAAGAGGATGTTGTTGACCCAGCCCTGGGCACAGTCATTGAGCAGGAAAGGATGTGTTAACCTGTAACATTTACAGAATGTATAAAATAATTCTTATAACATAGATCAGCCGTTCCAATAGTTTAACAGAAAGAAGCATGTGTTTGAGAAAAAAATCACTTACTGATACAACTTCATTACTTTGTCTTCTTTTGATAAACTATCAACATATTATAAATGGTATTCTTACTATAAATGTTCCAAAAAACCTTAGAGCTTGACCGTTATAGCTAGCTATTGCTGAAATTCAGAACCAACAATCTTTGTCTAGATTAGGAGTTGTCTCCCCTCACACAATATCTGCTGCTTCATATATGACATACAACTTAACTCACAAACAGACTACAGCATGAAATACCAGCTAGTTCACCTCACAAAAAAGCTACACTTACCTCATGATCACACAAATGAGTAACATACCATTTTATATACCACAGGTAATTATTTCTTGATCAGACAAGACCTATGTTGTTTGTGATAATTTGTCAATTAAAGTAATTTTAGAATGTAAAACCTCTGTACACAGTTCAGCTCTCTGTACTAATTCTAGCTCTATAACTATGATACAAAATTTAAATAATTGGGATCGCTGCTCAAAAAAACGAACCATAGAACACACTATTGCGAGTTGACTTTAGCAAGTGAAAGCCATAATGTTGTGCTTAAAAGAAACATATTGGCCACAATAATTTATCGAGTTTCACAGCTGTCTCACCTGCGCTCCATGTAGGCATTGAGAGGGTCCACACAGACAGTCACAGCACCTGTAAACAGACACACAGTACGTTAGTCGTTTAAAAATACACCTCTTATCCAATCCTTTACAGTTTTATAGACACAGAGTACTGATGTCACCATCACAAAACATACCTCTTATCCAATCCTTTACGGTTTTATAAACACAGAGTACTGATGTCACCATCACAAATTATGACTTTTATCCAATCCTTTACAGTTTTATAGACACAGAGTACTGATGTCACCGGGGCAAAACATACCTCTTATCCAATCCTTTACTGTTTTACAGACACAGAGTACTGATGTCACCATCACAAAATACACCTCTTATCCAATCCTTAGCAGTTTTATAGACACAGAGTACTGATGTCACCATCACAAAATACACCTCTTATCCAATCCTTTACAGTTTTATCAACACAGAGTACTGATGTCACCATCACAAAATATACCTCTTATCCAATCCTTTACTGTTTTATAGACACAGAGTACTGATGTCACCATCACAAAATACACCTCTTATCCAATTCTTTTACAGTATAGAGGTTAATTAACTGACACCCATTTACAGTTTATTGGTAAGATATTTATGGACATGAGGAGTAACAGGTGGTTGATATACAAAGTAATACGCCTCACCTATTTTCGTGACCTTTCTGACGTCCGGGTCTGGATGACACTGTATGGCCTTTACCACCTGTACGATGTCCACGTTCCTACAACATCACCATCATATCTTCCTAATGAATAACTTGTAAATGTAACTTCATAAATGTAATTGTTATTACAGAAATCTCAAATAAATTAAATTAAAGTTCAACACAGGGCAAATACTTGATAGAAAAAAAGAAAAAACACAAGTAGGAAATGTAAAGGGGATAAATGCCATGATCTACAAGTTGCTTGACTTACATTGGAGTGACCACCAAGACTCTTGCTTTGGATGTTGTGGACACTGATGACCGTTTCCTCCTGTTGTTGCTGACCAGTGCGGTCAGTGACATTTGTAACTGACCGGGGATAAAGGATTTTGTAGAATCTAGAGGCTGGCGTAGGACTGTCCACCTACAAAATCAGTTTTGATGCACGTGCTTAGAATATATATAAAGTTCACCATCAACAATGTAAAATCAAGTCAATATACATGTAGTAATGATAGGTTTAAGTCTTAAAGAATGTTGCAAGCATGGTTTTAAACTCTTATTTTCTTTCTTTTAATTCACTCAAATATCTAAAGCAGCATTATAGTATCCTATTACACAGACATTTCCTTGACCTCAATTAATTAGTCAGCAGTATTTGTAGAATTTATTGCTTCCTCAATGCACAAAAACAAATTGTATTGATCGTTGATCATCCACTTTTACTGCTGAAGTTGAACTGATGCAGTGTGAGGAGTTACTGGTTTGATACATACTTGATTCTATCTTTTGTGATATTTGTGTGAGGAATTACTGGTTTGATACATACTTGATTCTATCTTTTGTGATATTTGTCAATGTGTCACACAGTGTGGCCTTGTGGTTCCCGTGTACGCCTCCCACAATGGTGATCACAATCTGTAACACAAACACACCAACAATTTTACAATGCCATGATTTAAGGAACAACTTATCATAATCGTGTTCATACAAATGTTTCCTTTTTTTTGTATAGATTAAGATCATATTTGATGCCATTTTTGGTAACTATTATTTTTCATATAGATTATTACAACATTTGATACCAATTTTTAAAACTATTGTTTTGTATATAGCTTATGATCACATTTTATCCCAGCTTCTGTAACTCTGGTTTTTATATAGATTCCATGGGACCACCTTCATTAAATGTACCTCTATCGTTTTGTCCTCGGGTTCCACCTCTTCACCGGGTCTACGATTTTCAGCTGCGATGCTACGGTCTGTGTCCAGAGGCTGGTTAACATTACGAATCGCAGGCAAGGCCTCCTCAGGAATGGGGAGATCACTCACGCTACTGGCGGAGAAGTGGGCCAGGAACCTGTCAAAAACCGCATGAAATATAAACAAAATGAAGCTGGGATCACTACCCTTTATATAGAGATATTTGTTATGTAACATGCAGATGTCCTTTTGCTTCATAGATGTTCTTTATGAACAGGAATTAGCTATAGAGAGATGTCCCGTTACAGACAAGTACTTACTATACTAAGGCGGCCTATATAAACAGGAAATTGGTGTACATAAATAGATGTTCTTTATGAACAGGAATTAGCTATAGAGAGATGTCCCGTTACAGACAAGTATTTACTATACTAAGGCGGCCTATATAACCAGGAAATTGGTGTACATAAATAGATGTTCTTTATGAACAGGAATTGGCTATAGAGAGATGTCCCGTTACAGACAAGTATTTACTATACTGAGGTGGCCTGTAGAGCCAGGAAAATGGTGTACATAAATAGATGTTCTTTTTGAACAGGAATTAGCTATAGAGAGATGTCCCGTTACAGACAAGTATTTACTATACTGAGGTGGCCTGTATAACCAGGAAATTGGTGTACATAAATAGATGTTCTTTTTGAACAGGAATTAGCTATAGAGAGATGTCCCGTTACAGACAAGTATTTACTATACTGAGGTGGCCTGTATAACCAGGAAATTGGTGTACATAAATAGATGTTCTTTATGAACAGGAATCAGCTATAGAAAGATGTCCCGTTACAGACAAGTATTTACTATACTGAGGTGGCCTGTAGAGCCAGGAAATTGGTGTACATAAATAGATGTTCTTTTTGAACAGGAATTAGCTATAGAGAGATGTCCCGTTACAGACAAGTATTTACTATACTGAGGTGGCCTGTATAACCAGGAAATTGGTGTACATAAATAGATGTTCTTTATGAACAGGAATCAGCTATAGAAAGATGTCCCGTTACAGACAAGTATTTACTATACTGAGGTGGCCTGTAGAGCCAGGAAATTGGTGTACATAAATAGATGTTCTTTATGAACAGGAATTAGCTATAGAGAGATGTCCCGTTACTCAAATATTCACGCGTTTCGGTAGTAAAAGCGGGAATTGTTTGTCTTCGCGGATACGAGGTAATAACGTGGCGCACAGGCTTTAGCGCGTGGTCACGCGGTTTGTACTGGTTTATAGGCATTCTCTAGTCAGACACCGAGCAGTTCAGGTCAAATTTTTCGCTGTTTTTTTCCAAGATGGATCCTAATATCACATCAGCTATTACACATGAAGTACATTCGGCTGTGATAAGTTCACAGAATGACATACTGGCTAACTTAGATAGCCTTATTTCGGGAAAATTAGCGTTGTTTGAGCAAAAAATCACGGAAAGACAACTCGACATATCCGACAATCAGTACGCCAAGATCCAGCAGGATTTATTGAGTGCAGAGCCCCATAAATTTGTCAGGAAAAGTTGCGAGAAGCAATTTAACTTCAACAGAAGGTGAAAGCCAAGCTTTTGGAAGTGGACCATGCGTTTAACACGGATGTCTCGACTGCAAAGACCAAAATAAGTGAGGGTATAAGTTTATTGGATTACAGGCAAAAGTTAATAAAGTTAGCGGACACCTCAGAGTCTGGGTGGAAAGCCGTGGAGGAGTACCAAGCCAACCCTATTGCCTCTGATTCGGAGGATGAAAAGAAGATGGACAGGGCGCGTGCACGCGCCAGTAAGAAAATTAAGAACGTCAGTAGCAGAGCCAGGGGCTACAGCAGAGGCAGAGGACGTTATGTGCCGTATGACGTGCGCCAGAAGTATCAAGCGCCAGAACAACCCATTCCAACGGTTAGAAGCTTCAGGCCCGGGACGTGTTATTCCTGTGGTAAAGTAGGACACTGGAGGATGGAGTGTCCAGGGATCACGAGAGGGGCAACAGATGCGATGGGAGTCACTAATAAGTTAAGTAAACTTTTGAATGTTAAGCATGTAGTA